CATTAACAGCGATGCGAAGAAGACGCATCACAAGTTTACTCGTTGCCGGTCAACAACATTCGGCCATAAAAACACAAGTTAATTCGTGACCGGTCAACAATGTGTTAAGACAAAACAGAACAATCGTAATACGAAACCGCTATATTCTCTTACCCAAAAGAAAAACCTCATCGAAATCCAAATAATTCATAGTTATTTAAAAGATAATATGTACAGATTAAAAATGGTCGCTGGTTATCAATACTTTTAAAATTTTAATTTAAAAATTCTGTAACATAATATTATGTAAGTAAATACACATTGAAATTTTTGGTTTCACTAATTAATTCTATAAATTTTTAATTTGATAATTTTCTATTTTCAGAAATTTAAACAGAATGAAAACAATACTTTCAATTCACAATAAGTGAAATATAGGAAATTTTGTTATTGCGTAGAGAAAATTTCAGTATTCAGTGGAAATATTTAATTAACAGCAGAAAAAACAATAAAACAATTGATTTGAAAATATTATTTTAAATTTATATGTGAAAATAAATAAAATTCTCAGAATTATTATTGAAGAAAAGCACCAAAAACCAGTGTATTGCAAGTGTACAGAAGCGGTTATGAATAAAAACCAAAGATCGATTTTTTTTTTATAAAAGCATGTTTCCGCTTCTTGTTAACAAAATTGATTAGAATTTCAGGTCAACAGATAGCTGTTGTATGTGGAATATTTTTAGAATAATCTACTGGCAGGATATTGTGATATTTAAACATTTTACATTTTGTATAAGAAGTAAACTAAAAAATTACTTTTAAATATGGTGTTCATTTAAAACTTAAAGTTATAGGCTCACTGATTTTATGCATTAAATTCCAAATATATTTCAATAAATTAATTAAAATAGCGAAATATTGCAATTAATATTCGTGTTTTTCCATTGGTTTTGAATAATATAAAAAATTTTTAATAAAAAAAAAAAAATTTTTTGGTTAATTTTTTTGTTTTTGTGTGCATTGCAAAAAGAAAATTATTTACATGCCACAATTTTGAAATTATAAAAACAGATAATATTTATTTTAATGAAAATGATTTTAATTCAATATTTGTTTATTGGAAAATTATCAAAAATTTCATGATGATTTTGTATAGATTTTGTTTTTATAACAATATAGTAGTTATGTGGAAAATATAACAAAAATACAATAAAATTCAAGCCTTTATAGAATGTAAAGTATTTACCATATAATATGAATATTATTTTAAAATGCCTGTTGAATTCTATTGTTTTAAGTGATAAATTTTATTTGAAAATTTATGAAATTATAATAATAATAATATTGTTTCGAGTGTTATCGTTAAAACTAAAGTTGTGGCATATTAAACGTGAAATGGTATAATTGGTAAAAATTATATTAAAATATTATGATAGTATATAAAATAATTTAAATATGGTTGAATTTATTGAAATATTTTGTTAAAAATAATATTTTATGTGAAATGGGCATGTTCGTCATAGGGTATCATAGCTAATTCAGTTAAAAATGGAAGAGGAAGTTATAAAAAGAATTCTTGTTTCAGTAACATAACATACATACAAAATTTGATTTGTTTAAGTTAAAAAATTAAATTTTTAAAATTGCGGCTTATCATAGAGTATAATTAATTCCCAGCCACAGATATATAACTGTTATGAGAGTAATTAGTGTACAGACACATTCATATGAACAAATTTTTAATATCAATTTCTTCTTAATAACATCAATACTATAATGAAAAAATTATGTAAAATCAATTAATTATTTAAAAATTGTATAGGGTACAAATAACAAGCTGCAAAATATTGTATGTCGTATAATATTATTAAAATGTATCATGCAACATGTTGTATTATTATTGTTAATAACTCAAATACTCAATATAACTAATATGCTCGTTATAATCATTTTATACATAATAATTTAATTTCAATATTTTCATCTTGATGAAAAATCAATTCTTAGCAATTCTTATATTAGTTATTTAATTCAAAATTTATTCTAAAAATTTAAAATTTAAATTAAATTCTCAATAAAAAATTGTTTTCGAATAAATTCTTATCAATAAAGATGCTATAAAAAATATTCTCTTTTATTTTGTTACTCTCAATTCTCTTAAAATTTTATACTCTTTAATTTCAAGTTAAAATCTCTTTATCGATTTCAAATTCTTATTTCTGTTTGTTTTTTCCTTCTTAGAAATATATACATATTACATATATACACAAGTATCTATACAGTAAACAAAAATTACATGTACACATTACACAATTTTATTTACTCAGCATTTTCATTATTAGGTTAGCAACATTATTGCTCTTCTATACAGAAATGTTTATAAGGTTAATAGGATTTTTTAAGTAGTGTGAAGAATATTAAAAGTAGGTTACGTTCAAATTCTTATTACAAAACCAAAAAATTATTGTGTATACAATATGGAAAATTTTTTACATAACCTTTCACAACAGAAAAACAAAAATTTTTTTTTTTAACGAAAAAGTAATAACAAAGTGAAATTTTTGTTAATGTTTTGCAGATATTTTATTTTTAATACAAACATTTGAACAAAATATAAAAAAATTTAGAAAAAATCCTGCGCAAGACATTTTATTTTTAATTTTTTACAGACGCTTTAGTAGGAAATTCGTTAAATATTTTGTCTGAAAAATTTATAATATTTGAAATAAAAATGAGAATATTGGAAAAATTTTTCCAAATTATAATAAAAATAAAAAATGAAAACAAAAAAAAAAATATAGAAAATTTTTGTCTATATCCGAAAACAATATTCTATTTAAAAAACAAAAAGAAAAATGTATTTTCTGTATTAAGGATACACGGCACTAATGAATAAAGTAATATCGGAGGTACAATATTGTCTAACAGCGAACACAACAATAATGAAAAATAAACAAAAATTGGAAAAAATTTTCATAAAATTTTCAGAGTAGAAAAATGATTTTTTTCTTTCAAAAGAAAACAAAACAAAGCAAAACAAAACGAAAAAATATCCTCATGTTACCTCAAGTTTATTTCAGTTGTTTTGAAACCGTCATACTAAAAGGTTGACCATATCAATCATATTTACGGTAATTAATAAGAAAAAAAAGGAAAAATATTTTAAAAAAATAGTAGAAAAAATTTCGGAAAAAATTTACGAAAAAAAATTTAAATAATTTAAACATAAGGTTTTGTTCTTGAAAGTTAAAAAATTTCGAAATAAATATGAAAAAATTAATAAAATAAAATATTTTAAATTAAAACGAAATCTGATAGTAGTTCAGCAGGTTTATGAACATTTTCTGTTCCAAAAATTTGCAAAAAAAAATATAAAAATTTTTTGATTATTGTTGGAATTTAATTAACATAATTTTAAAATAAGTCCTTTCTGTGTAATTAAAAGGATTTTAAAGTGAAAGTTGCACATTGAAATTGTTTGAGTAAGTTGTAAAAACCGAATAAATGAATTTTGTAATAATTTTGTGTATGCCGGTCGAGTAATAATAAAAATATTGAATTGAGTGCATAGTTTTATAATTATAAAATTCAAAATCAAATTTCCAAGTGATTTCAACTCAACAACTTTATTATACGAAATGTGAATTATTAATGTGAAGGACAGAACGAATTCAATATTTTTTTTTTTAAAGAATATTGAGAAGAATTATTAATAAAATATTTCAAGATAAACGTGCAAGAGAAAATTTGGAAAATTGTAATATAAGAATAATAGAATTGGAAATTATAAGACCAAAACTGCGCTAAAGAAAACTTAATCGATACAAACTCTTGCTAAAAAACTGTTATACAAATTAGATAAAAAATATTAATTTTCCGGTTAAATTAAATTGTAAAAGAATTGATAAAGATCACAAAATAATTAAATAAAAAATTTAATAAAATTCACAATGGTTAAATTTTCTAAATTAATCAATTAAACATCAAAAATATAAACATTTTTGTAAGTTTCTGAATAATTCTGAAATATTAATAAAAGTATAATTAATTAAATATTTATGTAATTATTAGGTATAGCATCTCAAACAATTAAAATATTATTGATAACATAATATTTATGTATGTGTTATCATTTTAATGTTGACATAATTTTAAAAGGTAATTTTTTTCTTTCTATTGAATTCATAAAAATTTAAAGTTATTATAATTTTATAATCATTAATTAAATATTAAAGAAACACATTCCACCACTTTAAAAATACAATCGATTTGAAAAATATAATTTAAAAAATTTTTGTAATTAAATAATTTTGAACAACAACAAAATTATGGAGAATTAAAATTAAAATTGTAATACAAGAGAATTCGTACTTTAAAAAATTTTATATTTTTTTATTATAATGTACAAAAAAATATTTATCTAAATATTTACAATAAATTTCCCATATTTTTATTGTAATTAATTTTTATACATATAACAGTTTATTCTTATTAGTTATTATTTAATTCTTCCTTTATTTTCCTATACTATTTTTACATGAATTGTTGGATTTAGAAATTAAATGTTATATAAATTCAAAAATAATGAATGATTTATAATCAATTAATCATTATACAAAATTTATTCTATATATATTTTTACATAAATAATAATAACAATAATTATTTATTTCCAACTTCAATATAAAAAAATAAATTTAAATAAAAAATGAAGTTATTTCAAAAACTTGAATATAATTACAAAATATAATAATTATAGTGTTTAATTATAAATTATAACAACTGTACTAATAATAAATAAATACGTAACTATATTATAATTAAATTTAAGTGTAATACAAATTTGTATAATAATAAATGTGAGTCTAAAAATTATTCTTATAAATATTCAAATATATACATGAATTTTATATAATTATAATATTAAAATAATTTAGAGAATTATTATAGTTTATAATAATGATTAATTAAATAACATAACAAATACATAATAAATACACCAATAAAACAACACTTATAATAATACAACAAAACAAAATCCTTCTTTTATTTTTAAATTTTCTAAATATTTACAATAATATTATAAATCATTTAAAATATAAATTCATATAAATAAATACATAAATAAAATATATGAAAATTAAGATAATAAAAACCTATATACATACTATATTCTCATATACAACACTACAAAGTGTATAAAATTCGAAATAAATACAAAAAAAAAAAACACAACAGAAAAAAAACTCAAGGATTTGTTGTACCAGCCACAACAGGGATCGCAAATAAAATAAAAAAATTTGCATATTTATAAATAAAATTTAAGCATTTTTTTTCCATATTTTATTTATATTATGTATTATGTATATAAATGTACATATACATAAATCCAATAGTACATATAAAAAATATAAAGGTAAATATAAAATATAAAAATAAATTATAATTGCTTTTTAATAAAAACGTTTTTTTATAAATATATTTTAAGCACAATATTATTATTTATATACATTATGATAATATTGCATATACTTAGGCACTTATTCGTTTTATGTTCTCATAGATTATAGTTGTGTTGTAAACATTGTGCGGATAATAAACAACCTTCAGGCTATGTACCTATCTATAAAGTATTTTTCATATTGAATAATGTAAAACAGTTTTGCCTGTTAAATTTTATTGTTCTTGCGTTTTTTTTCTAATCTCTAATAATACGTATTAAAAAAAAATTTATTATTTTAATATTTAATTTTATTAGGGATTAAGTTTTTTTAAAAAATCCAACACTATAATTAAATTTTGATCTAAAATTGAAATATTTTAGAAAAAATATTCCCGCATTGCATTTTACCATATTTGCATTATTGACTTTATTCGTTTCATTCTGTCAGGTTATACTCCAAAATAGGCGAAGAATATTTTCAAGAACTTTGACATATTTCGAGGGAGCAAGCTGAAACGAAGTTCAAGTTTATATTCGTGAGAACATTATTTGTATTGGAAAAGTTTTCAAAATCGTAAAAATGAATTTCCAAACTTATGTTGTTTGACAGAACGACAATTTGTTCATTCTTCAAACGTGGGATGATAAAAATAATACAGAATAAGAGCTAATGTATCAGATTGTCAAAACCGATTTTGAAGTGAGTGACTACGCAAAACCGGTTTTCAGCCATTCTTTAAGTAATTTTTCTCTTATGTGCCAACCCGTATGAGTATCAAATTTTAATGGTTAATACAGATATAAGATAAACTACTGGAATAATATTTTTTTCTACCTCCTTCTCTTCATAATTATTATTCCTATGAAATTTATAAAACTTTAAATTTCCGGGCACCCATTCCTTTAACTCAAATAACACAATATATTGTAATTTAAGATTCAAATAAATTATATAGAATTCGATTTTTAAGGGAAATTTATTTATTAAATTTTTGACTAGACTTTAGTTTGATCTCAATTGCTCTTTTTATTTTCATGGATTTTCGCCTATTTTAAAACTGGATTATACACTGTTTCGGCTTTCAAATCAAACTATGACTACTTGCATTCATTCGGCAATTGCACGTTTTTAAAAGAATGTTTTCTGTAAAAAATTTGTTTAATAATATTGCAAGGAATTGAAATTTCTCTTAGTAAATGAACTATATAGTAATCTAAAAGCTGTAAATATTTATAATATGGATTGATTTCAATAAGATTTTTTTAATATTATATTAACTTTATCAGAATGTTATCTAAGTAATCATGTTTCAGAAAGAGAGAAATTACATAAATAATAGTTTGCTACACCCCCACCCCCCCCCTCCTTTCCGAATGTTAAGTAATTTCTTTACAGTTTCCCACTCTTACCACTTCATATCACATTTGAATCTTAAATTAGAACTCAAATGTATATAGGCAAATTTCCAATTAAATCATTAAATTCAAAGAATTATAACCCAAAACTGTTTTAAAAACCTGTCAAAAATATAAATATATTAAATTTTAAGAGGTTCAGTTACCTACATAATTTGATTATATGAGAAAATATTGTTGTATTTTTAAAATTTCATTGAAAAGCTTTTTGTAATTCATACTCGCACTGTATACGCCTACATATACCTAAATTTTCATTAATTTTCATTTATTCTGATTTCAAAATTAAAATCTAGATCATTAGGGAAAATTCTTCACATTTTTGTTTTTATTTTTTTCTTCTTCTTCTTTATTATTTTTAATATAGCATAAGACTATTGATATTAAATTTAGCGAAAATCAATTTTTAATATAAATTCCACTTATTTTTCCCACAGAATTTCATAATTTTTTTTTTACCTTTAAAATTATTTTTGTTTCCATTTTTTTCTAAATCTTTACAGCATTTTTCTAATTATTTTCAGTTTGAATTTAATTAAATTTGATTGAAGTACAGGATATACATTGATTGAAATTTGAAATTGCGAATTGAGGTTAAATGATATTTTCATATTATAATATTTTATTTTATATTTTTTTTCTGTATTTTACAATTATAACTAACACCAAACATACTGATATATAATATATAAACATATACACAATAATATGTAACTAGTATTGAATTATCTATATAGATATTGAAATTAAATTAAGAGTTATTTTTATATTTCCTCTCTAATTATCAGGAAAAAATATTACATTTGAAAATTTTAAATACAAAAATTTAAATTGTAGAAGGAAATTATTTTTAAATGCTTGGCTTATAGCCATCAAAATTCGTTTTGTAACTTTGTTGGAATAATATTTCGTTCTGCGTTTAATAAAATCAAATTTATGAACGAATAAGATTGAACTGATGTGTCAGTATGTCAGAATAATTAGGATTTTTCATAGCAATTATGCAATTCACGAAAATATGAAATTTTCATGTTGCCAATGAAGGCGTCATATTATTCTTATTTTTATTCTATATAATGTTTATTGTACTAATTTCATTGTACGTAAAGTATAAAATGCTGTATATGAGACTGTAGTGTTGTAATGAATTTTTTATATCCATAGTAATAATTTGTCATGGTTACATAAATTTGATTGCTATTATTATGCTAACATAATTGTCTAATTAATCTCAAATACCATTTTTTTTTTCCTTTTTCACTCTTAGGAGGAGTATAGGGGTAGTGCATGAAGTCATGCCTTAGTTCCATAGCGTCATAGAGTTAACTAGGTATAGGTGACAAGCCTGCCGTAGATCTCCAATAAAAGCTTGGCCATTTTAGGGCTAATCAAACTTATCATCTAAAATCTACGATGTCAATAATAAAAATTTTTCACTTCCGACCTCAACCTCAATTGTTACCTAAATTTGAATTCGATTAAAATGCCGATTTCTACTTTAACACTTAGTTTTCTTGATTCCGATCCCATACCTCCGTTTACCCTGAATTTTAAGAGTCTAAATGAGTTACTTATAAATAAACCAATTGAAACATATTACACATAAACAAGTATTACACGGAAAATAATCAGTTATACATTTTAATTAAGAGCTTGAATTCAAAGAGTTTGTATAAATTCTCACAATATAATTACTGTGTTTGGCGCTTTAAGCTAAAATTAATTAAAATATAAATTGCATGAGTGAATATGCATAAAAAAAATTTATAATACTTCAATATAATTTTTTATTAAAAAAAATTTTTGAAATTTATAAAATGAAAAATTTTTCACAAATTTTTCTTCCACTAAATTTACTTTACCGCATTTAGTTTTCTGTGATATTTGCATACAGCTTCATAAAATTTTCCTTTTGGCAACATTTTTATTTTCAATGGAATTTTTTTTTTTTATTTAGGTAATGTAAGGTTTATGTAGTTTTTACCAAGAATTCATTAAAATTTAGACATTGTCATTATTTAAGTCATTGTACAAAAATAAATTTTCCCGAATAAATCTTACACCCATTTTACTCTAAAATAATATTTATTAAGAATTGAAAGTAATTTTTTGAAAATGTTGCCAGAAAATTTTGTCAAAATTTTAATGAGGTCTAATTATTTTAGATGTTAAACAATCTTCTAAAATTATTCGAACTGGTTTTAAAATGAAATTGCAGTTCACAAAAATTAATTATAAAATTATGAATAATATTGTTATAGAAATATACTGTGCTGTGCAGGTTGAAAGGATAATTCCAGAAATTGTATGAGTAATAAGATTTCTTTGGATGATTGGCGTAAAATTGGATTCGGTTTTACATACAAATCATGTGCTAAGCCTTATGGCAGTTACTGAAACCATTATTACTTAGATCGTTTTTTATTAAACAGGATCAAAATTTTTTATTCTCAAATAATGAAAGTTTTACTAGTTAGAATAATAATTTCGATGTATAAATGACTTGGCAAAGTAAAATTAATTTATTCAAAATCGGGAGATTCGCTAGAATATAGAAATAGAGGAGTTTTTTTGCAATAGAAACATGTTCGAGGGTTTATGGATTCTAATTTTAGAGATTGATATTCAGAAATACAATTTCGGTATATGTGAACAGAAAAATTGAAAACTCAATTAATAAAATTTTTAGAAAAATTCCCAATTTCTTCTATTTCACATGTTTTCGTTGATGCAGGCCATCTGTAATCGTCAGAATAATATTAAATAAGTTTGTAATATAAATCAGAATCGAAATGCATTTATGTAGAAAATTTTCTTTTTCTGTCTTAAGACCATATAAGTGTACACTTATTTTGAAATTTCAATAAATTCATTTAAGACTCACATTGTTAAATTTTAACATCACAAAAAGGAGATTTTATTCTCACACCACAAAACTCCTTTGTATAATATGTACATATTGTATATGGTATGTGTGTATGTAAATTATAAAGTTGTATCAAAATATTTCTAGTTTTTGTAAAATGTTTCTGGTATTTGCTTTTAATTTTATGTCACTATTAGCACCATGTAATTTAATTAAATTTTAAAATTCTATTAAAAACTTTTACTTATATTTGATGCAAAAATTTTCAAAAAAGTTTCAAAGAATTCAAGTCTAATACATCGTAATAAAAAGAAGAAGAAAAAATTGGAATGTCTAAATAATATTATGGAAATTTTAATGAAAATTCAATTTGTAGAAAATTTCGTATAGTTTTACAGCTAAATTTAATAAAATTCCGAAACAATGGAAAATATTAAAAGTCAAATGTTTTTATAATCTATAAGAATACCAAAGAATGAAATATGAATAAGTTGCATGAAATGCGTCATGCATAATCACCGTGCAATTTTGCAATCAGTTTAGAATTTTGAATATTTTCAATTAAAAGGGATAATTTTTTTACTTCATTTACCAAGCTCCACATATTTAAAAATGTTCATAATGTTTCGGAGTTGGAAAGAAATAAAGTCGGAATAGCTAAGTAATTAAAAAAAATTCAAATTTCGCAGGA